TCAGCGCTGAGGCGTTGGTTTTCGGACCGGAGTTCCTGGATCACGGTTTCATACCGGGCTGAGGTGGCGTCGAATTTTGAGTTTAAATTCGAGATGGCGGAGCTGAGGTCCTGCAGGAGGGCTTCAACATTGTTGTTCATCTTAAAATGTAGCGAATGTCCAAGATGTCGAAAAACTTGGAAATTGGATATCTTCAGATGTAAAGGTAATACGACTTTGGGGTTTTCAGATGTATACTCCAGATGTATTGTTGAATCTAACGATGTACTTTTAGTAGATGGATGGATTGTTCTAGAAAATTTCCTTTTTGGGCTGAGTTTCAAATTTAGTAGTTAAATTCTATAGCGGAAAGTGATGCGTGCGCAGTTTGGTAATGATATCGCTTTCGTTCACTTTAAAAGTGGCTTGGTAATATTATTTTGGTTATTCTTCTTGTTTCTTGGTTCTGGTTCCCTCATTTGTGGAATGGCGCGTTAATCTTGTCTGAGAAATGGAGATCTAGTTGGTACTGAGTTTGGCGGTGAGAAAAGAGTTTCTAAAAATACGTGATAAAGACCCGACAAATAATATTGCGGTGAAACTATTTTTGGTGTTCTAGAAGTTTTTCTGGTATTCTTTCTCCGAAGGTTCAGTTCGCGTCTTTTGCTGCTTTTCTAAAATTGGCAGGTTGTTAATTATCTTAGTCGGTTACTCGTGAAATTCTCTTCTTTCTCAGTTACAATTATTTTATTGTTATTTCGTCGCTCTCTCTCGTATCTCACTTATTTTATTATTACCTTCCTGTTTTGTTTAGTTCTTTATTTTTCTTATTATTCATATTATTTCCATCATAGTTTTCCCGTACCCTTATTTTATTTACTCTATTTTTGTATTGTTCTCATCATAGTTTTTCCGTACCCTTTTATTATTTTATTCCATTTTCGTATTAGTTATTTTTGTACCATAGTTGACAGCTGTCAAAACGTCTATATAAGATTGTCTGATTTATAATAATAAACGTCATCGAATTCTTTCTTTCTGAAAAACTTTACTTGTTTTTAAACACTTGTGATTTATCTTTACTTCTTTGCAGATTTCAAAGCTTACTAGTGCAAATCTATATCTTTTTGTCTGTATTCTTTAACAATTAGTCTTACAGTCTCCTTCTTGTTATTCTATACATTTGTTTATTCTTCACTCCCCCCGAAGGAGGCCTTATTTTTCCTGATTTTTATGTCTATCTTGTGCCCGGTTAGACAAAAGATCTAAAATATTTATTTTGTGCACATCTAGATATTTACAATTTTTATGCAGATCATTTCCCTAGATGCGTACCCCAATAGTATCTATCTAGTCTCTAGATAGATATTTAAACTATCCCTATCTAGGCCTAGAAAAACCCTGATCTATTTACTTCTATGGGTTAAATTTGCATTGATCTTTGCAAAGGTAAGGTACAAATGCACTCTTGTTTGGGCTTAATTTTATGATGAGCTTGTTGCTTCTCAGGCATAAATTTATATGTAACCTTGCATAAATAAACCCTGATCATGGTGGATCTCATGTTAAAATATCTAACTGATCATGGTGTAGTTCAGGAGTTTTATTCTCCATCTATTGGTTTTCATTTTATAGATGGATGTATACTACTGGGTCAATTATTGATTGCTCATAGTAATGCTATAGTATCATTGGTTTCATATTCGTCATATAGTTTAGATGATGGAACGTTATTGGCTTTATTTTTACAGATTGTTTACATTTCGTTTTTTATTATTGGTTCAAAAATAGCTCATATGCCTAAATCCATATCACTACTACTGTTGCGATTGGAGGGCTATACAAATTGGATAGGGTAAAAATATTGGATTTATGGTCAGAAAAGTGATTTTATTTGATAGAATTTGAGGCATCACAGCACGATCCATTATATAGAGAAACGAGAACAGAATAAAAAGAAGGGAGTCTGTATACGAAAGAAAAGAGATTTTAGACGGCATGGCACTATCTAAAAAGGTAAGGGAAAAAGAATTCAGTAAACTTGACTACGGACGATGATGCATGTCTTACTTACAGTCCAGAAACCGTGTCTTCCTTGGCGTTTTATGATGCGATACCCGGAGTCAACTAGCAAGTGGAGAGGTGCCGTGGTCTATAGTTTAATTTTTTTTAAATACATTGCTTTATATAACATGGCCTGTAAACATTACCCCAAAAGACTATAAGACAACCCATATATACTATAGCATGAGCATCAGCAAGGACTTGAACGTTTATAAAGAAAGCAGTAATCTATGACTCAAATAATTAATAACACGTACACTTATGGGTGATATGCATGTCTTACCCGAGATGAATAGAAGGAGAAGCCGAATGTGTCACATACAAAAAACCATTGCGCGCTTGGTACAGAGAGAGAGATGGGACATGGGGTCGCTTGTCATTCTAAATAGACATGTTAAGTAATTGCAAGATACAACATGATGTGTATGCCCTACCCAAAGTAAACGCTAATAGAAACAGCAGACAGACAGGGCTTGGCACTTGATAGAGATGGGGGTACTAGACGTAGCACAATGGAAGTATCTACCCGAAAAAAAAATAAACAAACGGAACAACATAAAATAATGGGTATCATACCACTAAGAGACGTTGTGAGATATACAAATTCTTGATAAGAGACTTGAAGGAATAGGAGACTATTCAAATAATTAGCAATGGTCTCATTGGCTGTCAATGGGTAATAGACCGTACCTTTTATACAACTAAATGAGGAAACCAAATACAACGTGTACATGTAGACCTAAAAAAACTACAGAGTTGTTATTATCAGCACGTAATAGAAAATGAAACGCGTATTTCTTTTCATACCCTTGGAATAAGAAACAAGCCGTAACTCCTTGACCGTGTACATGCATAACCAGCAGTCTTCTAATTAGGGCCTAATTGACAGACAGCATGCTTTTGGAGAGTGACCCAGTTGGCAATGGAGCTTCTAGAATACCATAACTAGAGTTTTATTGCTACAAATGTAAAAAACCAAACAAAAAAAGAAAGCATTAGTAAAAAAAAGAAAAAAAAAAGGGCAAGGAGTTTTCTTACTTTTTATAACATGGACCTGTGTGGTGGAGTGGTTCTTTGTAATTAGAAGCTATAATTGAGCAATGTTACTTACAAGAATAATAAGGAAGAGTTAAAGACTTACTAGTTACTGCAAACCATTGCGAAAAAAAGTGTTAAGAAAAAAAGGAAAAAGGAAAAAAAAAAGAAAAAAAAAAACCTCCTAGATAAGAATGAGAATAAAAAAAAAAAATTGGGTTTATAGATTGTTATGATCTGGCTTATTAAGGCAACCCCAAGTGTCAAAAATCACTTTTTTTTTTTTTTGACAGTGATACACTGATCACAATATCCATTTATTCATTTAAAAGAAAACGAAAATAAAATAAAATACCCTTTACCTTTTTTTATTTAAACAAATCAATGGAACCCTCAACAAACTCATCTCTCTACGTTGCAACTGCTTCTTTTTCTGCTCGTAGAGGCCCAAGAGCGGATACTGTGGCCCAAGAAATTGCAGGGCTGAAAACTCGAATTTATGCTTTGGAGAATCCTACAGGTTGCCGCTGTAAGTAATGTCACCAAAACTGGTAATGACCCTGAACAATGTGTAAGTAAATCTAACGTGATAAAAAAAATGGTCGTTAATTTTGTTACGTGTAGGCCTTAATTCGTCAGTATTATCAAGACTGCATTACTGAAAAGGGCCTTCACGGCTGGGATTTCACAACCACTGTGATGAAGGGGATTAATCTCCCTATTTTTCAGTACATCCTTGAGCGGTTTAGACTGAAGGAGGCAGAAGCCTTTAATCCTGCTCGTCCTCTTCACAAGATGACCTTGACGAAAACAAAACTTGTCAAGACGAGAATCAGAAGAAACTTCGAGGGGTTGAAGTTTGCGGACCGCAAGAGACGCACTCACAGTGTAGAAGAACTTGGAGAGCTTGCACGTAAGAAGAATCAAGCTGCAAGACTGACTGCCGTAAGTACAATATTTAATTGACATCATTGTAAATCTAATTTTACCTTTTTACAGAAATTCAAAAGAAGAAAGGACAACTTTTTGAAGTATGAGGCAGACATTGTTCAAAAGTTTCATCCCAAAGAAAGTTGCAGGGCTTTTCTTGTAAAAGGCTACATGTCTGAGGATGAGGATGATCAAGTCAACTGATCAAGGTCAAGCCCTTTCTTACACCAGCCTTCGTCCCAGTTGGAGATCCGATCAGGTAAAAATAAAAAGAATTAGTATTAAATAAAAAAAAAGCATAATGATCTAACGTACCTTTGGGTTATGATACAATAGCTGAACGAAATGTTTGATGAGTTGGATTCTCCTTCTGGGCAGAGAAATGTTGGAAGACCATTACCTCGTAGAATCAGACAGGTACCATCATTGTCTGTTCCTTTTGAACAAATTGGCCGCTTGCCAAGTTGGGGCGTCCGAGATGGCATTTGATTAATAAATCATTCTTTTTCTTCTTTTTCTAAATATGTATCGTGTTAAAATATGTTATATCAACGACACCTTAAAAAATACTCTCTCACCTTCATTGATGAATTAATTGAATAGCGGTATTAATTTTTATTACCTTAAAGCAAAATACGCTTGACTTTAATCATATTAGGCAGGTGATGTACATCATGTTTCAGATAACTGCATGAAAAAAATATTAGTCTCCTTTATTACTATTTCAAGTTTTATTTTCTTACAAGTTTAAATCAGGTCCACCATTCGACATTACCACGAACATTAACATGGCCAACAGTCAACACATGAATCTCCAGATCTTGAAACTGTAGAAGCAGAACCCGACTTTCTACTTTGCGTTTCCCAATCGTATACAAATACCTTTCCCCAAAACGCTCTTACATGTAGTCACCCTAATAATTTTCGTAATTGTAGGAATCACAGGCGTTCATTCAACACAACACCAGTATTTAATACAAGCGACCCAACACGTGTAAAGTGAATTACATGGTAACTGTTCATTCCAAGTTGCCGAACGAAGTGATTTCTCCCGCAGACCCCAAATCGACGATTTTTGCTGTCTGTATTTTAGGGTGCAGTAACGGTGATATATAATTAAGACAAATTGATGCCATATGCTTCTTCATTACCGCAAAGTCATAGACAGGGAGGCTCCTTCAATATGAGTTAAATATTCTTGAATTATTCCAATAATACATACGCCTTAATAAAAACATCTTTGATGCTATCTCATTCCTAAAAATGATGTGAAAGAAAATATATATTGTAAGGTTTATAAAAAAAAAATTGCATGTTACCAGAATTTAAAAGAATAATGTTTGAGCTAAATTAGTGATGATGTTGATATTAGTCAAATGTGATATCTTGATAGCAATAGGAGAGTGGATGACATGAACAGGAATGATGGACTCGTAAGACATGTCTTCAAATTCGTTTGCATAAACGCTCATATTATGATGAGCGAAAGAGCCCAATTGAATATCTGATTCCTAAACCATCTAATTAAAAAATCATGCATTAGA